GGGGGGGGGTAGATTTTAGGCTTTGAAAACATGTCGATGCCACTTCCGGGGCTGCTCATTTACATGATGTGTTCTGTTGTGTGTGTCCTGAAGCTGGATCTGTGTTTTGAACGTGCAGTTGCAGGCTGTAACCACTAGTGGGAGCTGATTCCTCATGTATTTCTCTGTGGGCGCGTGTGCGTGTGTGTGTGTGTTGCTGCCTCTGAATTTCTGAAGAAAAACTGAACACATGGACAAACTGTCCCTCAGACTAACCCCCCCCCCCCCCCTCAGCCAATGAGGGGCGTCCCTGTTGCGTAACCCGGCTCAGGGCGCGCCTGCGCTGTTTGCAGCTGCGCGCGCTGTTGTTTATTGTTTACTTGAACGCGCTCCCACGCAGGGACAATCACTCCAGAGATAAAGTAACGGGCTCAAATGCAGAGATTGTGGACCTTAGTGCCTGAATTCAAACCTTTACGCGCGCAACGAGAGGCTGTGTGTGTGTGTGTGTGTGAGTGTGAGTGTGAAGAGGGTATGTTGACACCCTCTTACACAGAAAACACACTAAACTCTCTTCCTGCTTGTTGCACACACACCTTGCCACTGTTTGAATGTCGGGCAGGTGTGTGTGTGTGTGTGTGTGTTGGTTTTGGTGTGTGTGTGGGTACCTGTCCATCTTTTGTCCGTCCCAGGGCTTCCTGTGTGTGCTGTTTCATGATGCCTTTTCTACCTGAACACAACATTCCCGTTGCCTCCAGCTGGTGGTTTTAATAAAAAAGTGAATGATTAACAGATGAGACAGACGCTGTGTGCTTACTGCTTCACACCAAACACACACCGAACACACACTCACGCCCAAACCCTCACACAGTCCCCACAGTGGGATCAACAAAGTATTCTCTTACGTTTTTCTGGTTTGAATTGGGCCCATCAAGCTTTGTTTAATTCACTACAATGAGTTCTATATTCACTGGTGCGTTCCTCTTTATTAAAACTTTTTGTCTACATCAGATCCCCCAAATCTGGGCCCGTTTCTGTCGGGCAGATCTTCACGGTCACCGCTGGATGACCAGCTGGACACGCGTGGGCTTTACGCTGGTGGACGCGGTTCAAATTCCAGAAACTTAATGTATGAAATAAAAATTAAAACCAAGAATAGATAAAAAGAAAAACTTTGCAAACTTCACGTGGAGCGTTTCTAATGGAATCAACTCTGTAAATTCTGCACGGAGTCTGGAATGAACAGAACCAGGCATCCAAGTCACCCTTTCCAAGCTGCTGACCGACATCGTACAAACCGTGTCAACTCTTTTGCTACGGATCTTCAAGAGAGAGAAGAAAAAACAGAACAAGATCAGGAGAATGGTGTCCTCCGTTGGAGGAAAGTTCCAGAGGACCTGCAAAGTCTTGCAGAAAAACTTTAACCTCTGCATGACTCCTGAGAACATTTAAAAAAAAGAAAATGCAATTTTTTGTTTGTTTATTTGCTTGTTTATTTGACTTTTCTGCAGCATATCACACCTTTTTCCCAAATGGCTTTGTCAGATTCGGTGGAAGGTGTGACTGGGCAACTTTTTATTTGTTCCTTTTTTTATAATCATTACATTTTCTTGTTTTTTTCTCTAAATTGTTTCTTATAAAATGACTTTGCAGCACATAACACCTTCCTTCCCAATGACTTTAGTAGATTTGGGGGGAAGGTGGAATTGGGCGACTTGTTTTTGGTTTTTTTTGCTTGTTTTGTTTCATGTGCTCGTGAAAATAAAAAAAAAGCATTTAACAAAATTCTCATTCTCATTGTGTTGTATGTAAACTAGCTCTATTGTAAGCATCGATCTGAACACCACATAAAGTCTGGCTGATGTGGAGTGTTTACCATAAACAAATAAGATAATAGATTAAATGGAATGGAATACAATCAAATATTACAGAATAAATGAACATCCCATCAATAATCCACAGACATGAGTCTTGTTTCAGTGTAACATTGAAGAACAGGTGGCTGGCATTTTCCCGCTCTTTCAAATGGAACCTGAATGCTCCAAATTTGACTAGTTATTCACTCCTTGTATTCAATAAATCAACTCTTCCCAATAGGAAATGAGCAAACATGTTCAAGATTTTGAAACGGGCAGAGCTTAATAAAGGAAAGGGGGAAAAAACAGAACAAATCTTCACTCATTTCAACAAAAGTTTAAAAAAATTACAAAATTGTAAAAGATTTTAACACCAAATGAAATTGCATCTCAACAATCTGACACCTTGTTCACATCGGATGAATCATCTGGATGGATCGGGACGCACCCAAACATAAAGAATAATAACAATAACAGCCTGGAGGTACTCTCACAGAGTTCAGCACTATGTGGGATTTGATTCTCAAGGATAGAAGCATCCTTTTCCACACAACATGAAGCTGAACAAATCTCATTGTACTGTGTACTATGACAATAAAGGCTTTCAATGAAATTCAGCTGGACGCGCCTCCAACAAGCTGCTTCTGCAGCCGTCTGCGGGTTTTCCGCAGGAGGACACGGTTCAAATTCCGGAAACTTAAAACCAAGAATAAATCAAAAGAAAAAACTTCGCCAACGCAAAACTGCAACTCCAGCTCCGGGCTGGCTGACCATAAATGGTTTAAATGGAATCAACTCTGTAAATTCTAACTGAAACCACGCCCCCAAACCCCCCCTCCCCTAGGCCCGGATTCTGGAATGGCCGCCGTCACCTGGGAGACGGGGAGCTTTGTGGCATAACAGAGATTGAACGTCAACATGAAACCGAATTCAGGGATTCCAGATTTCAGAAGAAAAACTGAACAAAGCACACACA